TCAGCTCTTACACGTCAATATACATTACCCTTATGTTCCAATGTATTACATTTACGTGTAATGTGGTCACACTGTTGTACAGGTATGAGCAAAAGGTGAAGGAAACAAATCCAGGAAGCTACATTTGCATTGACCAGAATGAAGGAAGGTTCAAAAGACTGTTTATATGTTATGCTGCTTGCATCGTTGGTTTCTTAAAAGGGTGTAGACCTCTATTATTTTTGGATGGGACCTTCTTGAAAGATAGATACAAAGGCCTGCTCCTGAGCGCTGTAGCATATGATGGAGACCAAGGGATATTTCCACTTGCGTATTGCATATGTGATCAGGAAAACGTTGATAATTGGAGATGGTTCCTGCAAGGCTTGTGGTCTATACTGTACGAAAGGCCAGACCCATACAATCCTCCCCATCAACTGGTTATTATTTCTGATGCCGACAAGGGAATCCAAGAAGCGGTGAGAGAATATTTTCCTGAAGCAATTCACTCAAGATGTGTTCTGCACCTGGTTGAAAATTTTAGATCTAAGCTAAAGGATTTGGGAATGAAAGCAAAGGACACACATGTTTTGGGGAATTTGCTCCAATCAGCTTGCTATAAATACACTGTTGCGGAATGGAACGACTACATGAAGGATATATATGAGATGTCTCCAGCTGCATATGAGATTGTAAATAACTACTCGCCAGAGCATTGGGCGAATGCCTTCTTCCCTGGCATTAGGTACTGCCCTCAATCATTTCTAGTGAATATCCCCTTTTGCAGGTTAACTATCGGTGATATATGTTATCGTTTATCACTATATGTTAACTTTCATGTTATTATGTTAACTTTTCCTACTAAAGGGAAAGTTTGGTGGTTGCGTGTTAATCTTATTATATATTGGATGCTGAATGAGACTTTGTTTTATTTTGATGTTTACATATATGGTCATGTAACCTCTAACGTTGCAGAATCCTTTAACAGCTGGATACGTGAAGCTCGAATGCTGCGTATCCTGCAAATGGTGGAGCATATCCGCAAGCAAATTATGACTCGCATGAACAACAGACGCATAATGGCTGAAAAGTGGACAAGCTATCTTTGTCCTAAAGCTGAGCAGATTGTTGGAGAACATATGGAAAGAGGATCTACGTTAGAGATTAAGCAATCTAGAGATGATATATTCGAAGTGCAATCACAGAGAACCACTCACGTTGACTTGGGGAAGAGGACATGCACTTGCCGTGCTTGGGACGTAACTCGTATTCCTTGTGTGTATGCTTGTGCAGTCATCATTTATATGAAAAGAGAGGTATATCAGTATTGTGACTGGTTCATGTCCGTAGAGGCGTTTAAGAAGAGCTACGATGAAATATTATATCCCATACCAGATTATGAGATGCGTAGTGTGCCCAAGGATGAAATCCAGATTTTGCCACCAATTACCACGAAGAGGAGGGGAAGAAATAGAACAAGACGCATAAACAATAGAACCATCTTGAAACGTCCTGTCAAATGTGGTCGATGCAAGAGCGAAGGGCACAACCGAGCAACTTGTAACGAGCCCATCCATGATTAGTGTGCCATGCTTACGAAGAGGAAGAATGGCGCTAGTGAAATATAAGTTGTCTTTAAGTTTCCATTATACTAATGGGAGATTTTTGTGCTCTACTTCCAGACAGCAGGAGGTTTTGAATTTTGTACTTAAACATGTTAACATATAACTATCTCTATACTACTACTACTTTTAGCTGAATTTGTTATCATAAAGGCCCACTGTTTGAGGTTAAATTGCTGTCATGTCTCAAATCTACGTGACATATTCCAACGGCTAGTTGGTATACTGTTCCAACAGACATATTCCAACGGCTTGTTACTTGATGGATTTGCTTTATATAATGTTATGCAAGGCTTAAGTAAAACCATATCTCTTGTTCCCTCCCTCCCTTTATAGCTCATTTAGAGACTAAGATGAAGACCGAGGATGCCTCTCAATCAGTAGAAGAGCCATGTTGTTTCTGCAAGCTTCCAACCCCCCTCAAGCTATGCAAAAATGGGAGCAACAAAGGTAGATACTTCTGGGGATGTGCAAATTTCCCAAATAGGCGATGTGAGTTTTTTGCTTAGGCTGACAATGTCAATGCAAAAAAGGAGAACGTAGCTGTTCACCAAGAAGCACCCGCTGAAGATGAGATAGCAGCCAAGGTAAAATACTTGAAGAAAGCATTGAAGTAGTCTAAGCGTGAAGTTGAAAAATGGAAAACCTGTTCGTGCTTTCTATGTTATTTTTGTGTTGTTCTAATTTGCTTAAACATTGTGATATGCAAGCTGAAAATGAACTGATATATGTGCAGTTCATAGCGGAACACTGCATCGTCTACAAATCGCTCTTCGCTTTATTAGTTTATTGGCTATCGATTTGTAAAGTTTTTCCTGAATTGGTTAGCTTTCAGAGCTGTTTGATCTAATCCAAAGTGGGTAGCTGAGCGGTTGACATGTTAAATTTTGCACAATTTGGTTTAGAGCGACAGGTTTAACTTTCATCAAAACTGCAACGCGGAGATGCAATAACAGTTCTGTTAGATATGTGTTGTGGGATGCAATAGAATTAAATTCAAGTTTGTAAATTACTAACATTCCAGATTGTTGCTCGCAAGGGACGCCCTCATATCTAAACTTCCTCCAAACATTGTCTGGATCAAAACCAGCCTTCATATGGTCCATGAAGCCAATTACTTTATTCACCGGTTCAATATATGCATCGTGGGTAGCTGAGCTGTAATGCTTGACAATGTCCTCATCCAACCTGACTTCAGCAAGATGCCAATGGTCCTGACGCACAAGCGGGATAAGGAGTACAATCTTTCTCGCAGCAATATGCTTTTGTATAAATGAAGTGTATATGTGTGGGAAATCAGGAGTGTTTGCATAAAGGCTGTGCTGTATAATCCAAGTATAATGGAATGTTATGACGATTATAGCCTTCATGTATAAGGGAATGAAAAGCCCACAATCAAAACTGCAATTAAAGAGTGCAATAACATTTCTGTTATATATGTGTTGTGGGATGCAATAGAATTAAATTCAAGTATGTTAATTACTAACATTCCAGATTGTTGCTCGCAAGAGACGCCCTCATATCTAAACTTCCTCCAAACATTGTCTGGATCAAAACCAGCCTTCATATGGTCCATGAAGCTAATTACTTTATTCACCGGTTCAATATATGCATCGTGGGTAGCTGAGCTGTAATGCTTGACAACGTCCTCATCCAACCTGACTTCAGCAAGATGCCAATGGTCCTGACGCACAAGCGGGATAAGGAGTACACTCTTCCTCGCAGCAATATGCTTTTGTATAAATGAAGTATATATGTGTGGGAAATCAGGAGTGTTTGCATAAAGGTTGTGCTGTATAATCCAAGTATAATGGAATGTTATGACGGGAGTAAACACGTGTTAAAGAATCATAGTATCGTAAAGTAGATAGCTTACGCAGAAGAAGACTGATACAATCCCATACTTATGGCTCAGGGGAACCATTTCTGGCCTATCCAGCCATGAGCTTATTCTATCGATCAAAGCTTCCATCAACTGAAAATGGAACATACATAAGACACACATTAGATTGCATAACAACCCTGTCAGATTGTGAGGAAAAATTGCATAAGTGAGGCAATTAAACTTGCATGGTCGTCAATACGTCCCCCTCGTAGTAGGTTGAGAAGCTCCATAGAATCAATACTACTGTTTGACGTATTTAAAAACAATACATGAGCTGATATATGACAGAAAGATACAGAGATTAACATAAATGGTAAAACGTTAGCCTGATTCTGGAAAATTTAACATATAACAATGAACAATAACATGTTATAGCATAAGTTAACATCAATGAGCATAAGTTAACATGTTTCTTTTAACATGAACATGCAAATAGAATTAAAGAGTTCGCATGGATTGAACTTACTCATGAGCTTTCTGATTGCAAAACTCTGAGACCCATCTGCTCTCCTCTAGAGTGAGCTTTGCCGCTACATGATGGGGTATTCTAAAGTTGTGAACAAAGGTTCCTGCGCTATCAACCAGGCGTATGCTAAAATCATTAACAAAAGGAATCCCCTCGTTCAGCACCTTCAACAGAGCCTCCTCCTTCTTCTTGATTTTTTTGGTTTTTTGAAAATCCCACGTGCATTCACTAGGCTTGCAGTAGTACCTGATTTTTTCCCTAAACCCTGTCAGATTGTGAGGAAAAATTGCATAAGTGAGGCAATTAAACTTGCATGGTCGTCAATACGTCCCCCTCGTAGTAGGTTGAGAAGCTCCATAGAATCAATACTACTGTTTGACGTATTTAAAACAATACATGACCTGATATATGACAGAAAGATACAGAGATTAACATAAATGGTAAAACGTTAGCCTGATTCTGGAAAATTTAACATATAACAATGAACAATAACATGTTATAGCATAAGTTAACATCAATGAGCATAAGTTAACATGTTTCTTTTAACATGAACATGCAAATAGAATTAAAGAGTTCGCATGGATTGAACTTACTCATGAGCTTTCTGATTGCAAAACTCTGAGACCCATCTGTTCTCCTCTAGAGTGAGCTTTGCCGCTACATGATGGGGTATTCTAAAGTTGTGAACAAAGGTTCCTGCGCTATCAACCAGGCGTATGCTAAAATCATCAACAAAAGGAATCCCCTCGTTCAGCACCTTCAACAGAGCCTCCTCCTTCTTCTTGATTTTTTTGGTTTTTTGAAAATCCCACGTGCATTCACTAGGCTTGCAGTAGTACCTGATTTTTTCCCTATCATCCTCCTTGTGATGCAAAATTGTAATTAATTCTGGTTGGGCTATCTTCTTCTTTTCCTCAGTGAAAGGGGTTCGGATTAGCTGAGAACGAGTCCTGATTCTGGTACTTGGTCCCCTTGTTCCCTTCGAAACAACTTTCTTCGACCACTTTCGATAAACTTGTAATAAGTTCTTCTCCCCCATACCCATCTCCTATACTTTCTCCGCACTGCCCTTCTCTTCTTCCTTCTCTTCTTCAAACATCTGCGCTAGCTCTTCCTCTTTCTCATGTACTTTCATCTCCTGCTCTCTAACTTCCACTTCAAAGTACTCCTCTCTAACTTCCACTTTCTCAGATGCCGATGAATCTACAAGTTTATTCTCCTGCAAGCTATCTTCCTGTTCTACTACTACTTGCTCTCTATCCTCCTCTCTATTCTCTTGCTCTCTATCTCCCTCACTCAGTGCTTGCTCTCTATCTTCCTCTTTCTCCTCATGCTCTCTGTCTTCCATCTCTTCCTCTTTATATTCCCCTCCAGTCTCTTCATCCTCGTCTTGGCCAACACTGTCTCCCTCCTGCTCAGCTTGTGCTACACCCTACGTAATATGCGAGGCTTCCTTACCAATAATGCGCACGTCGTCATAATCAAAACAATCGACATCGTTACCCTTGCCAATGCTGTCAACACTTCTTTTCCTCTTCACATGTGCAGCCCTTGTATGCCTGTCACTCTTGGACATAATCTCCTCCACACTTTTCTTCAGGTCCTGGGGATCAATCAGGTCAGCAGTTCCTTCGTAAAACTCCAATTTCCGGTTCAGCCTATGTATCTCCTTAGAACAAGCATCCCATTGAAGGCGCTTACTACGCTTTGTGGCATGGAGCAATTTCATGTTTAATTTGGTCGTATTCCTCCAGAACTGAATTTGCTGATCAAGGCTCAACTTCTCTATTTCATCTTCTTTGTCAAGCGCGTTCTTGATATGCTGGGAGACAATCTGGAAAAATAACCAGTAAGTTACAAAATTCAACCATCATAAATATGCTAGCAAATCAGTAAAAGATGATTGACGCTTACGTATCCTACGGATGAGCTATTTGTCTGCCCTTCACCCTCGCTTGCTTCTCATCCTTTACGTTTTGTTTCTTCTCCTTCACTCTCGGCAATGAAACCACCATAGCTTTACTCTTATCTGATACAGCAGGGATCCTTTTCTTCCCAAGGCGAGCGCTACTAATATTCTTCCCAGAGGGCTCTCTTTGAGGGTATTTCCCCCCCGCTGGCAAATTGGTTGATTCAGGTTTATCCTTAATCTTAATGGTTGCTTTTTCTGCCTTGGAGACAATTGTCTCCCTCCTCATCGATCCAGCCGTCCCTCCGACCCTTACCCAGTTGGTCAACGGCGGCTTCCATCTGATGTTTAGGGCAGGTTTTCTAATGCCTGTCATCTCGTAGAACCATAGTTGTCAAAATAGAGGCAATAATTATTTATCATTAATTCCCTGCACATCAAAACTCCTTATGCAACTTCATTTCTTCGTAGCTAACTTTCACTATAAAAAGTTAACTTTTATCAGTACTGGTTATATTTCACTTAAACATGTTAACTTTGAGGTCTCCATGTTAACTTTTAATTTAACATGTTAATTTTCACCAACACTGGTTAACATTCAAAATTGCATAAGTTACATTATCTAATATCGGTAGCCAAAACTCTTTCAATGCAAAACAAATGTTAAACCACATATGAACATGCAACTTACAGGGATGAGCGGCATGCATCCAGGGACGTACGTAACCCCTGGCTTCCTCAACCCTTCAACGGCAATGTGAATGCCTCTCTTCGTCTCATCAAAAATAAATTTACCCCACGTAATGTTCTTCACTCTCTCAATGCTATCTACATATTGAAACAACAATCTTGGAATGCCTTGCGAGCTGTTCGGACACCAAATCATTGAACACTGGTACAATATTTGAAGAAGAACAAAATCCTCAACGTCCTTATCGTCACTTGACTCAACAAGTGTTTCCAGTAACTCTTCAACATATTTTATCATGCTACCAGGTTCTTCTGTAGCCCTGGCCTTTGCCTTCTCCTTGTCCTTGAACATTTCTTTCTTATCTTCAAAGTACTCCCTCCAAAGCCGGTTGTGAGAGTCTCTATTCCCATAGATCAACTCCCCATCAATAGGAAAGCCCGTGTGAGTTTGCACCCACTCTTCATCAAATTTGACTGAAATTAGAGACCCTATTCGGGGATCGGGAAAAGAGAATTCATCAGTTTCAGCATCATAGTGACTGAGCACATGCTCCAGTGCACGTCGATCTCGGGCAGGAGGGCCGAAGAACACATAGTGTTCAAAGTTAGTGCCCTTTAAGGCATCCCAATGCCAATTCTTCATTTTTGAATGAAGTTTATGCATGAATATACAATACGATCCAAAACGTGCACTAGGCCTGATATCACCTACAGCATCACGTTTACTGCATAAACAACAAGACGTTGATTTGGATTAGGAGACAGTTAACAATACAGCCATTAACTTATTAAAAGTTAATATTTATTAACATGAATAGCTAATAGTTGACACCTAAGGGAAAACGTCGACACCAAACGAGAATTATTGACATGCAGAGCCACTAACCAACAACTACGTGAATTATTGGCATGCATTTCTTCCGAACACTTATATTTCCTATTGCACAGATCATACTCCAAAAGTAAGGATCTACACAACACTAACCAGTTTCTGACCAATATTTTCACATAAACAGAACCCATAAACCTCATTTAAATTCAAATCACACAATTAAATTAATTAAATTCAAAGTGGGGAAATTGCTTGGGAACTTACTTCTTCTTTGAAGTGAACTCTTTTTTCGGCGAGCGTCTCCTCTTCCACTCTCGCTTTTCCAGCCCCCTTTTCATGCTCAATAGGGTTTCCGACGCCTTATTACTCTCCTCGTCGGAGGAGGATGTCGGAGGAGAACCACAGGCCGGAGGTATGACGGCGTCGGCGGAGGCTGAGGCGACCAATTTTGGAGTTTCCTCCTTCGTCAATCGCGCCGACCGCCGCAGGTGACGACGCCCTGCGGTTTGGGTGTCGACTCCTTCCCCCTTCTCTTCCTCAGCCTTCTGGCCCGTTTTCCTTAACTTTTTTTGGCTATTTTCCTTTCTTGTTTTCCTGGGAGATTGAGGGAATTTGGGTTTTAAAAATGGGTTCTCGAGATGAGAAGAGGTTTGGTTTGAGGAGAGCGAAGAAGAAGAGGGAGAAGCCAGGCCGATTTTGGGGGGAAACTGCAAGGGGCATTTTTGGGATTTTGGTTTTTTCTGCTCTCAGTTCGGTCTGGGAAACATAAAAGGGGCTGAAACACAAGAACGTTTGGTATTTGGGACTTTGGCACGAAAAAAAATACAGGGGGCCTCCACGCATCCCCTTTACAATTTTGGGGCCTAGACACAATTTTCCCTTCTATTTAATCCATATTTGTTAATACTAGTATGGTCTATGTGCATTGCATGTATGCATTTTTTTTTGTCCAAACAATCTGTTAGTTATTGATCATCTTGTTTATTTGGGTAATTATCATAAAATATCAGCACAATTTTATCGAGATACATGGGGTGATTGTTGACCAATATGAAACCAATAAAATTAGATACTAAATATCTTTTTTCTCTAACAAAAGTATATATGTTAGTCTATCTATATCCACTCATTTATTTTCTCCAATGTAATAACTTTAGTGGAAGCTATCTCTTTCAATGTCATACATTTCGAGGTTCTCCTTGATTAGCTAGAAATAGGAATATAATAATTTTAAAATCACACCAAATAAAAGTAGGAAATTATTTTCATGATATTTTCATGCTAAGAAATAGTTCCCTCGCTAATGATGGGATGGCTGAAGTTATACTTTTAGTCAAAGTTCGTCGTATCTTTTTTTTTTTTTTTTTTTTTGACATATCGTTCCTTCCTCGGCGAATACATGTCATATCCAAAGGTTTACATACACCATCATAATTAAATTTTCACTTGAAGACTTAACAACAACTTCCAAATTTCTACCGTTTAAACGACCTTGTTTCTTTCTATGTTCATGAAAAATCTTTCCTACCATGTTCTTATAATTCCTAAAGCAGTCTCTTCATATGTTATTTCATAGTTTGTCTGTCTAATAATTTAATTGGTCATTCGTCAATCCCAACCTAAATGCGTATAAAATACATTGTTACTAGGATTCAACACGTGTAAATATAGAATCAAAAATAATATTGGTCATTACATAAAATTCAATTAAGATATTGTATGAAACCATAATTCCTTGTATTCTCATTTGAGAATGAAAGGAAAGATTTTGGATTGGGGAGAGTTCAAAGAAAAAGAAAGATTCTTGATTTGCCTTTTCATTTTTCCCTCATAAAAAAACTAAACCAAAATTAATTTTTCTAACCTGCAAGAATGAAATCTTTGTTATGCTTAATATATTCAATTTAAGATATTTTTAGTATTATCATCACAAAGAAGAGATTCCAGAATTTTTTTGTTACTTCCTATCTTGGGGACAAATTGAATCAAGTGGCTAAGAAGTTTTGAAGTTTCTATTACATGTTCGGTGAAATCAGTATTTGTGTGTTTCTTTTTGAGCCATACGAGATAAAATTCTCATATACGGTTCTCAGGGGTTGGATTACCTATCTCAAAAAAGTATATGATATATTAAATTTGTTAACTAATATTAAAATACCAAAGACAAAATGTGGAAGTAAATAGCGTTTGTCTTCAAAAATATTTAGAGTTCTGCTTACATATTAGGTTAAGTAGGTGTTGATAATTAAAACACATAGCCTATTTGTTGTAGCCGTTTTAGTGATGAAAAATAATCTCCAATCAATGACAAACAAGTATTCTACATTATGCATATTCAAGTTAGCATTTCAAGATAATTAGAGGCCAAATTCGGTTAACTCGACAAGCCGACATCTTGCGAGAACGACTCGAAAGACATCACATGTCGACGACCCACAAGACGTTGCACGTCGACCGCCGGCTATGTCAACTGCTTAATCACTCCATTCGACCGACTCATTAGTTGACACCTTACAAGGACGACTCAAAAGGTGGTACTTCTCGACCATCTAAAGCAGGCGTCGACCCACATAGCTGACCTTGATGAGACCTCTTTTGTCCATTGGTGTTATCACATGAAGCTCAACCCAACCAAGTGTGCTTTCAGGGTGCAATCAGAAAAGTTTTTAGGGTTCATGATCACCCAGAGAGGCATGGAGATCAACCCCAAGAAGATAGCCACCATAGAGCACCCACCCGAGCCCCCACACATTGAAGGATGTGCAGAGGCTAAATGGGAAGATAGCTACACTGGGTCGCTTCCTCTCCAAGTCTGAAGAGAGAAGCCTCCCACTTTTCAAGACTTTAAGAGGGAGCAAGGAGCTGAAAGAGAATAAAAGCTGGATGACAGAGTGAGCGCAGTCTTCAGAGATCTTAAGATCTACTTGAGCACCAAGTTGTTGCTGAGTCAACCCAGAGAGGGAGAGACCTTGTATCTATACTTATCCGTCTCTCTCGAAGTCATCAGCCCTTGGGAGGGTGACATGCAGAAGCTAATGTACTATGTCAGCCGGATATTAAAAGCTGGTGAACTCAACTACCCTCTCATAGAGAAGGTTGCATTCGTCCTCATTACTACAGCTAGGAGGCTCCATCCCTACTTTCAAGCACATTTCATAGTAGTGCGGACTAGTTTACCTCTGAAGGAGGCACTTGGGAGCCCCACCACTTCAGGAAGAATGGTTGCCTGGTCAGTCGAGCTGAGCGAGCACGATGCACGGTTCAAACCAATGACAACAATCAAAGCCCAAGCCTTGGCCAACTTCCTCATCGAGTCGATCTTACTAGTTGGCGATCCAACCACACCTTCGCCGTCGGTCCAGCAGGGGCCATCGATATTTCAAGTAGTCAACACCCCTGCACCTCAGCTAAGATGCACCAACGCTAGAGTTTGCCTCTTGGTGGTTGTTAAAGGTGGATGGATCCTCTGGAGAAACTGGCACCGGAGCATGAATAGTCTTGTGTGGCCCTGACGGGTCGACACATGAGCACTCCATCACTTTTGGATTTCCAGCCTCCAACAACGAGGCCGAGTACGAAGCATTTCTGGTGGATCTTCGAGCAGCCTTAGTTGTAAAAGCCAAGCGCATCTACATTTTGGCTAACTCCTAACTTTTTGTCCGTCAGGTAAGTGGAGAATATGCAACCAAATATTTTAGGATAGTTCAATATTTGAAGGCGGCTAAAGATCTACTAGCCAATTTTGTCGATTTTAGAATCGTCCAAGTCCCCCGCGCCCTCAACGCTCGGGCAGATGCTCTATCAAGACTCGGATTAACCATCTTGTGAAGCAGCTCGAGGCTAATGTACACTGA